TCGAGACTACCAGTAAATCAGTGTAACGAGATGTATTCACCCTATTTCGTCTAAGGTGATGAAGGACTGGCAGTCGAATTTTACCACAATGGTATGGGTTGAGCTGACGTTTCCATTGAATTTCACATAGCCTTGCTTTCCCCAAAGATGTTCTCTTCCAAGGTGGACTGCAGTTTCGACCTCGCTGAGGGTGTTGATAAGACCAATGCGAGGTCGAAACTGCAGTCCACCCTGGATGATAACATCTTATGGGAAAGCAAGGCTATGTGAAATTCAATAGAAGCGTCAGCTCAACTAATATCATTGTGGGAAAATTCTACTACCAGTCCTTCATCACCTTAGATGAAATAGGGTGAATACATCTCATAGGATATTCAACCAAAAAATGAGATGCCTTATTAAGTGGACCAAATTGGAAGTAGACAGGTTTGAAGTCGGCTACCTTCTTTATATTTGGTTTTAAGTGAATTATCGTTAAGCACGGTGTACTGCTGTGACGATATCCTACACATGGAGAAAAGCACAGCAAGAATTAATTGGCGTCGTATAGCGGTGTGCCAAGGACCTATTCACACAAATCCACAATCACAGATCCCAGTGAGGCCAACTTACGAATACCCTCCATTCGCAAGCTCAAACGAAATGAAAGGTCCCCTCACATCGTCCTATTAAGGGCGTATTAGAAACCAGTTTTTCCATATACCTAATTTCATAATTTACCCGATGGCATCAGGACTAAGATGGTGGCCTCTATTATGGTCAGCCCCCCTTCGTTACATAAACATGCTTTGAAGTCGTCATCGCAACTTGTTTGAGTCGTCAGAGGGACCTAGGTAAATGCACCAAATTTGGAGTAATCTTAATAAATGTCATGATAATTTACAATATTGGACGGTGGATAAGAGTTGTCTGACCTTGCTTTTGCAATTTGGTCGCATTGTCAAAAGGATCTAAAGGAGCACACATTATTCAGAGCCCATAGTATGCATGATGGTGGACTTTGTGCATTCCAAGACTAGTTGCAGTGTGGTGCTAAGAATGATCAAGCTGACTGAAGATGCAGGCAAAACGTTTGGGAATGTACGAATTCAACGGTCCGAATGGAAATTATGATACACACTATGGACTCTGGACAAGGTGACTTCTCCTATTTCCTCCTCAAAATACGACAAAGTAGCGAAGACAAGGCCAGCCAACTTCTATATGAGGAATGAAAACCGCGATCATACTAAAGGCACATTATCATGGTCTTCATACCTACGATTTGCCGGCATAGTCAGTGAGCCTGGCCCCGTGTTCTGGTACAATCACCAAACCCATAGCATCATATGGCCTGCTTGACTAGCATAACTGCCGAACTGCTCACATTCACCAACTTTAAAGGTGCTCCCTTATGACTGAATTCAGTAAGGCCTATCCACCCCATTAGTTCGCTGATATTCCCTATCATGCTGGAAATATTAGCCATCCTGGCCTTTTCAGTCTGCAATCTACTTCATTCAGGCCCTATCAATTTCCACTTTGCTCTGGAAGTTTTGTCTTATACCCACCAGCTAGGTGATTTCAATCGGCCACTGCCATAATAGCTGCGCTACTCGGGGCCACATCTAAAGCCTGGACCATTACGTTTGATGAGAGATTAACTTGGCACTCTTGGTTGGCCTGCCTGTAGCATAAATCTCCTGGTCAGTTTCCTACTTCAAATACCAGATACAATCAGATCCGTGTACTGTGAGTCAGCTATCTCTGGTCTTCGCCGCATCGCTCGAGTTGGAATTTGACTGACATTTATATCCATAAGGCCAAGCCTATGACTTTCATATGCCAATCCCCAGATGTCGTAGCTACTTACTTGGCTTGACTAGGCACACTTTAGATGCCTTCCATTGATTTCCGATTGTCCCTCAAGGACTTCCTCCTTGTTGGCAGTCTTAATCCTGCTAAAAATATTTTCGTAATCTAGTCGTCTGCTTATTGCTGATAATCTAGTCATAGATAGTTAGAAAACAAGGAATAACCAAAATGCGATAGGCACCTTATGACTTCAATACAAAAATAAGAATTACTACAATGTTAGCTAAAAAATATTTTTTTCAAACATTAATTTCGCATAAGCAAAGCTGAAAAAATGGGACTAACGAATGATCTAAATAGGGAAATGAGTGAGATTGGCTAATTTATTGAGATTCAGTGAAGTAAATCGGACCGCCATCATGAATTACAATGCTCTGAGCCTGCGATATACTCCAGTTGAGATATTAGGAGAAACCGAGCAAAAAGCAAGAGCTTCATTCGTTTGGGACATTTAATTTTAAAACTGAGATAAACATAGATCAAGCACTGAAATGGAAGTTTTTAAAATAACCGTTTAGTGTCTAAGAGAATCGATGACATCAAATAGTAAAAGGCCTTATTAAAATATGCGTAAGGCAACATTCGCTGAAAATATTCCCTTACATTTATAAGAAAGTACAACAATGTGAAAGAATAGCCAGAACTACCTTACCAGACTTTACATAGTAACGAATTTCAATCAAATGAATAAAATTCCATCAGTTTATATAACAGTAAACTAATGCCTCAAGATTAATAAAGCAAAAGTAGGAATCTTCAAGCATGCGGACAATTCTTTACGATAAGACAGGATAGAAACGGTAAAAATTCAAATAAATCCAAAGAATTGAGGGAGTTGACAAATATGGTATAGATGCAGGATGCTCATAAGTGAAGGCAAGAAGATGTGGATAATAATAATGAAGAAAGTAAAGAGAGAAGAGAAGCCGAAGAGATAGCAATCCCGGAGGATAGATACAAACGTTAGCTAAGAATTCAGTTTTTTTCTTTTTCCACTCGGTACATCCCCAGCCGCCGCAGCAGAACCTATACAGGATGTGTCACTAGGCTTCCTTTTGGTAGACCCGGGTCCTGAAACAAGATTAGACCCGATGGACAAATGATTTGACTGCTTGCTATCGAATGTATCACATACTTCGCGTTCAATCAGAGTGATGAGGGTACTGCAGCGACGCTGGAGCTCCTTATAAGGTTGAGATGAAAGAGGTGTAGAATTAAAGACATATATCGTACCAAATAATCACTAGTTTAGCTTAGTCATTAGACAGGCTTAGAGTGCATGAGCGATCTTTACTGACTAATAATTCATGTTCCCATAAATTGATAAAATCAGTGGTTCCCAAACTTTTCCTAGTCGCGGTGTCCTTTTTCAATTAAAATTTTTTTATGGCGCCCTCATGTATTTTCATTATTTTTTTTACTTTATTAACATTAAATAAATATTTAATAATTAATGTGATAGATGAGCCTGCAAATCACCGCACATTTTTTCAAATTGAAGCTTTTACAATATTGCATGGCGCCTCTGTGAAGAGACCGCGGCGCACAGTTTGGGAATCACTGGATAAAATATTAAGCTGCCAGCGAAAAAATCCATAAGTAAAAAGATATTTTGAGAAGCATAATATAAAGATAATTTGACGCCTTTATAACTGAAACTGCAATATAAAAGATTTGATCCCGTTTTCACAACTTGATCGAATTGTCAGGGAGACTTAGTTAATGCACTTTGTCCGAAGTCCTCTGCTAGAGTACAGAGGACTTGGTACATTTCCTGATGTTTCGTCGGCATCGTAGTCGGAATCGCCAGTAAGACTTGCCACTCTCAGCACCAAGCTACAACTTGCCAGAGGCAAGTGAAATCAATTGTATGAGATCTATTCACCCTATTTCTTTTAAGATGAAGAACTGGTAATTGAAGTTCCTAACACTGATATGAATAGAGCTGACGCTTCCACTGAATTTCGAATGGTCTTGTTTTCCAAAAAAAGTGTTCCTATCCAGGGTGGACAGCAGTTTCGACCCCGCCTAGGTCTTATCAACACCTCCAGTGGGACTCGAATCATGACATTGCAATGTGTAATCTCGGCACGTTAGCTACTACTCAACATTGCTACGATTGTGCTTGGGTTACAGGGAATGTTACAAGGAAGGACAGGTTCTTTACGATAGCACATTCTTCGGTGGGATTGTCGAGGAAAGAAACTTGTATTTGCTAGAACAATCGGCAACGTTACTTATTTTTCGTTCATAATTAAGATTTTGAGGCTACCAGTAAAGCATTGATATGATATGTATTCACTCTAGTTCGTTTAATCGATGAAGGGTTGGTAGTTGGATTTTCCCACAATGATATGATACTTAGCTACCAGCTCTATTCATCATTGTAGGAAAATCCAACTACCAGACCTTCATCAACTTAAACAAAATAGGATGTATACATCTTATATAACTGATTTAATGGTGGTCTCGATACGCTACTTATAGACGAAACATAAGTAAAGTAGTAGTGTTATGGCAAACATAACATTAATTCATCTACAACCTCTAACAGCTAATCTAAAAGCTGTGTCTATAGGTCTCTCTGCCTAGGTGTGAATTTACGTGAAAAAATGTTAAAGAAAAAGTTCTATCACTTAAATAACTTGAGTTACCATTGCTGTGCGCGAGCGGAGGAACCAATCGAAGCGAAATTGGGGGGCAAGTCGGACAGCCAATCGGAGATCGTCATAAACACTATCGCGCTCAAAGCCAAGTTTATGCAGCATACAAATAAGAAAACGATCTTCTTCTTCCGTGTAATTTTTCCCTTTATTCGTACCATATTGGATTCGTAGCTGATGAAAGGGGGCTCGATAACGTGACATTTTTAGATCAAGAGCACGCTTGACTGCAGCACGGCGATGGATCTTAGCCTCACCCCTTTCGATCTGAATAATAAATGAAAGTGATTTTTTAGATCTTTAAAAATAATTATAAGACTCTCAAAAAGGTATTTAAAGGCATAACAATCAACTGCAATAATAGAACTGATTACAATGAATTGGTTCTGAAGGCCGAAATGGCCAGGTGGTTTGGGCAAAAGACAACGGATAATTGAGATAATTCACATAATCCATACATTATAAATGATGCTGCGCAAACTTAAATTAATACTTGAGAAATTAGGATATGTTAAAACTTTAAAAATAGTTGTGCCCAGACATTGCACATGCGAAGTGACTGGATGATACTAGTGGGCTGAAAAGACTCGTTTACTAATTTAAAAAATTTAGAAACTCGGTTTTCTGTGTAGTAAGCGATGGGAACATTGCATTTTTTACTAACACGAATGGTGAAATAGACAAAATGATTGTAGAATCCTGAGAAAATTGTGTGGATGGCCTAGGAAAATCTAAAATGTATTATGCATATTATTTCGAAGGTATTCAAACCTAAACGGAAAATAGTTCGGTGAAAAAAACGCAAAGTGATCAACACTATATTAGATGGAACCGAGTGACAGAAAGGAAAGGCTAGCATCTAGATAAAATGCAATGATAAATTGGATTGCAGAGTATAGGAAAGCCAGATCTCGAATTCATGCTTATAGATTAATTATTGATGAATAAACAAACATGTATTTTTTAATCGAAGGGTCGCAGTCTCATTTCGTCTCTGTCATATTGGCAGAAAGACTTAGAGGAACGCACCTAGTCCGGAATCCATTGCATGCATCATCATTTTCAGAGTAGGACCGTAGACGTGGTACATTCCCAGACGTTTCGCCGGCATTGTCAGTGAGTCTCGCCATTCTTAGCACCATATTACAATTCGTCAGAGACAAGTGAAGCCCATCCTTTGACCGAACGTGTGCTAAACAGTTATGATATCTCCCCTTCTGTCCTGGCCTATTCACATTTCATATATCCTCCTATCATGTCTTCCCTGTCACAATTTTTACCGTGCTTATTTTTAATGTAGTGTGGTGTGCTCCTTCAAGCAGCATTCATGAAAGCCCTTAACACTCCACACTGTCGTTATCACCCCCTTGACCCTTGTGCTGGGAATGTTACAGAGTCTGTCATATTGTTACGTAGTCCTTCCCTGGGTCCTATCAAAGTCTCCCTCTTGCCCCGTCGAATACAGTCTGTCATATTGTTACGTAGTCCTTCCCTGGGTCCTATCAAAGTCTCCCTCTTGCCCCGTCGAATCCGTATTCTATCTCCCTGGTACATGTATTTCACTCGCCCCCTGCCTCGCCCATATGTACTATTCGAGGCGTAATTCGTTCATCCCTTGCACCTGGGCGATTAATTAGAAGCTTAAGTCTCAAAGTAAGTCTCATGGTCATGCCTTTGCTACATGGACCCCGTCTCTTGTAAAACCTACTGTCAGCCAAATAGCACCAATCGCCGCTTCGTCTATCCTGTCTCTTTTCCTAATACCAAGTATATGACTTGCCATGCCCTAGTTGTTTGTGTGCCAACCCAGAAATGTTGTGGTACTGCTGGCTTTGTTTAGGTTCAATGTTGAACCACAACATTTGTGGGTTGGCACTCAAACGAAATGAAAGGAATGTATTTTCGACTAAAATCGATAATAACACTATCCAAATCCCTCTGCATGCATAACATTGAAACTATTCAGTTTAAAAGTCGTATTGTGAATTTACATACGAAGTGAGATGATTCTGCCACTTCTTGCTCGATGTTAAGATTGTCCACTTAAAATAATGAACATGAAAATACATTCAAAGTATCTCAATACACCCATCACCTCAAGTACCTAAAAGTTTTCTCAGTGGCAAATTTTGGGATCATTGAAAGAGTAATATTATGCATATGGATTTATTTAAACACCAATTATAAAAAAGGACATCGGCACAGAATTTGTTAGTGTTGAGTTAAAATCCAGGTTATAACCAAATTAACAAAGATTCTGAAGTTTTATCCTTCAATGATGTAATAGTTTACTATCACAGTAATAACAAAGGAAGCATCAGGGAAGCTCAATGCTAAAAACATATTTTTGTTCGAGTTGGTGAAACCCCATCTTTGGGATACACTAGACAGTAAATTGAATAATAAGCAAGTTTTCGCTTCCATCAGTTAAGTAAAAACTAACCATCACTATCGATCGATGGATGCCGTCCCTTCAGATGTTAAAATAACTTTATTCATTGTAGGTAAATCCGCGATAGTCTTCCCTAATGGGTTGACAGGAGAGTGGCCAAAATCTGATTCTAAGTATTTAAGTAATAAGTCTATGAAAACTTTAAACTCTGTTCTTGCGTACCAAAAGCATATACAAGTCCCAATTTGCTTAAAGCAATAGGGTATATGTAATAAAAAAACTTCATAAAACTCAATAAGAAAAAGAATTGCCAGACCAAATGAATACAAAATTTAATCAGCCTACATGCTGTCCTAATTTAGTGCTGCTTTTGATATCATGACAAGCCTGAATGAAGATAAGTAAATTACGATGAAGACCTTTATCGAACAATTCATGCTGTTCGAGGTTTTAAACAGACATCAAAGGAGTTCGGGAAGGATTTTATTCTACTCACGTTAGAGGTAAAAAATCCGAGTCCCAGCAACAAAGTTTTAGACAAAATCA